CCACAGGGGAGGCAGCATAGTAATACAGTGCAGGCCTCAGCAGTTTGACTGATCCGGAGGGGAGGTACCAGCATACGCTGCCTCTGTCTGAAGCTCGCTAGCACAATGCAGTGGGCAGGGTCACCTAGCCAGCTGCTTCAGAAGAATTGTAACCAACAAAGAAAGAAACTGGGGCCTCCTGGAAGAAACAAAAAAGATGGGAAGAGGAAGCAACAACAAAAAGCCCCCAGGTCCCAACCCTGAGAACATTGACCCAGGACAGGTAAATACAAAGGAGAATGAAGACAGCAAACATGCAATATCATACATGGCACCAGTGGACATAAAGAAATATCTCTGGGACCTCATAGACAAGTTCAAAAGTGAAATATTTAGCCAAGTAGAGCAAGATATAAGAAGATTAATAAAAGAGATGCAAAGCACCCCTCAAGCAAACACAGACGGAACTCAAACAAAGGAGAGAACCATTTGATGAAGAATATAAAGGAAATATAGAATACATGAAACAGATTCAAAGAGATTACTAGGAAATTAAAAACTCTATGGAAAGATGGCAAATCAGCTTGAAAGAAACTAAGGATAGATTATTCAAACTGGAGGACAGTTTTGCAATGTGGGATTATGAAAGGAAAAACTTTTTAAAAATAGGAAACAAGCAGTAACAATACATAGGCTAGAAGATGACAGAAGGATCTGTAACTTGAGAATAAAGAATGTAAATGAAGAAGTAGGGGTACAAGCAAAGGAACTACAAAGGCTATTCATAGAAATAATTAAGGAAAACTTCCCAAACATAGGAAAAGGAAATGATATTCTGATATATGAGGCATACAGAACTCCAGCCACCTACAACCAAAACAGAGCTATGCCCAGGAACATAATAATCAAGATCCCAGAAATTCAATATAAGAACAGAGTATTAAAAGCTGTTAGAGACAAGAAACAGATAACCTATAGAGGAAGGCCCATCAGAATAATGGGAGACTTCCAGACACAAACCATCAAGTCAAGAAGATCCTGGAGCGAAATATTCCAAGCACTGAAAGAAAATAACCTGCTACCCAGATTGATATACCCTGATAAACTGTCTCTAGAAATTAATGGAGAAACAAGATGCTTCCAAGACAAAGAGGAACTTGGGAAATTCGCAAACACCAATCCAACTCTACAGAGAATACTGCAGGGCATTCTAGAGAAAGAGAAAAGTACTAGAATTCCAGGAACAGTGTCAGAAGGGCTCAAAGAATGGAGCAGAAAACAGAATGAAGAAGATAAGCAGACAACTGATGGCAAAAAAAAAAAGAGCATAACAGAAATGAGGCAGAGAAGGTTGGTTATAATAGCTAACATAGATGGCCTTGATACACTAAATTAAAAAAAAAAGATCTACACATGTGAAGTAGATCACAAGGCAGGGTCCACCAATATGCTATTTATAGGAAACATAATTAACATGTAAAAGAGTACATGGACTGAATATCAAATATGATAAAACAATGCTCTATGTGACAGAGAATCAGAGACTAATAGGGCAACTAGACCAGTATTTGTGGATAGGTTGGAAAGACAGGCTTTAATAGGTAAAGGAATACAATTAGAGATCAAGTCCAGGAGAGAGAAGGTTCGGAACCACTTAGGTAAATATCAGGTTGCCCCCCGCCAATTTAAAACCAAAGGTCTTACTGAGACCCAAAAATGCACAGTGTACCCTGGGGAAGTGAAAGGGGAGGGAGAGTCTTAAAATGGATGGAAGAAGATATTGTTAATAGTGTATCAGGATGTAAAACCCACAATACTCACACTGCTCTGCTTAGATAGATTTTATTCTTTTATTTTGATAGATTTTATTCTGTCACAGTTGTCTACTTGCATTAGATTTGAGGGCACAGACAGCTATCGCCAAAACATCAGGATATAGCACAGTAATCATCTTTAATTTCCTATTATCTTAATCCAGTGCCCTGTATGACTTATACTGTTTTATTGTGACTGATTGTAGTGAAATCTGGTTTGTTTAACTGCTGTTTGGTATCCACTGATTTTATTCAAACCTGATATGTTTGATAGTATCAAGTCTGAGAATATAGGGAACTACACTGAAGATGACAAGACTCTACGATACACATTCTGGTTTGATAACTGCCTGCTTTTGAAGTTTTATACTTTATACAAAGTTGTGTTTTTATTGATACTGTTATGTACTGATATATTCGATTATACTATGTCTGATGATATAGCCAATTCTATTGAAGATAACAAGAGACAACACAGAAACTACTTGTACAATGGTTTTATATGCCTTTTTCATTTCATGTGTTTATAGGAATGTTTTGCTTTGTCTTACTTTGTTTTGTTTTTCCCTCTAACATAGAAAGGATAGAAATACATGTTAAGTCTCATGCATGTGTAGAATATGTAAACAGTTTATGAGAACTGATCTTATGACACATGATGAAATGAACAGAGACTGTGAATAAAAAGAGACACTAAAGTCCCCAGTGCTGATCCTGGAGTGTCATAATGTGAAGCCCAGCAATAGCACTATTCTTTGTTCAGAGTGATATTAGACTTCTTGGGTTTGTTCAATCTCAACATAATTGAAGATATGGATAACTGCATGTATGTTTAAGTGTATAGGATTGATAACCATATTTCTAAGTTTTTGTTGGATAGTTGAACAGAACTGGTTGCAGTCTCACTGTTTGAATCCCCACTTTATATGTTCCACTTTAGTATCTTGAATAACTATTTGCAAGAGGACAATCTGTAATCATCAACTAGTGATTTCTTACTGTTGATTTTTTTCTTTGAAAGTATGTATTATTTCTACCCATTTTCTGTTTTGTTTAGTCTTTCTTTAAATAAAATTTTAAATCTTTAAAATTTTATTTAAAGAAAGACACTACAGTACCCAGTGCTGATCAGGAGTGTCATGATATGAAATCCAGCAATACAATTATTCTTTGTTTAGAATGATTTTAGCCTGCTTTAGTTTGTTTAATCACAACATAAGTGAAAATATGGATAACAGCATATATGTTTTAGTGTATAGGATTGACAATCATATTACTAAGTTTTTGTTGGATAGTTGAACTGTTTGCAGTCTCGCTGTTAGAATTCCCACTTTATATGTTCCACTTTTGTATCTTGAACAACTATTTGTAAAAGGACAGTATGTAACATTAACTAGTGTTTTCTTACTGTTTATTTTTTCTCTGAACGTATATATTATTTCTACCCATTTTCTGTTTTGTTTAGTCTTTCTTTAAATAAAATTTTAAAAAAAGAAATCCAACTCAGCTTGGGAGGCTGAGGCAGGAGGACTGCCATAAGTTCAAGGTTAGCTTGGGCTATGTAGTGAGTTCAAGGCCAGCCAGTGCAGGATGCTCAAAAGAGTGCATAGACCAGCAAAAGGTCTTAAGACTGAATACTGAGAATTCCAGACAGATGGGGAAAAGCTGATGGAATACCCTGGGCCTTGCATTTCTCATTCTTTAACTCACTATCTTTATTTATTATCAATCTGTAGGCTGCCTCTAGTTCTTAGAATGCTAATAAACTTTCTCCTATTTTAATTGAAAAACTGTGTTCATCGATTCTAAATACGTTTTTCAAAGAAATATGATATTTTGGTTCTACTGAACCAATATGGTATTTTCATATTGGTTAGAAGAAAGACATTTGTGCAGATCATGGCTACTTATGAATTTTTTTTCTATGGATATACCCACTAAGTAGAAATTTTGCACAGATTAGAGATTTACCAACATGGCTAAAACTGTATTTAAGACAAAATAAATGTATTATTATTTTAAAATAAAATCACATCTACTTTGTATTTTCCAATCAAGTATGCATACATCTTTCCATCTTGAGGAAATATTTAAAAAATAAATGTAGATCCTGCAAAATTATTTTTCTACACTTTTCTCTGTCTTGGTTGCTTTATTGAGTATCACTAGACCATTAATAACTCTGTGCTGCTCTCTAGTGGTAGGTAGAGAATAGACTTCATTAGAAAGTACTGTTTTTTGCATTTTTTTTTTTCAGTGAAATTCTAAGACACCCAACAATACAAAGTGTGTTCCGTGAGTATAATTCCTTAGTCTGCAATTACTGTACACACCAAGAGTCATTCAGCACTACTGGTATTAATTTATTACTCTGAGCTGAAAACATTTTTCATAGAAATAAAAAAGCACAACTGATGCTTATCTTAAAAGCAAATTCTTACTACTTGGTAGGCACCTTGATTTATTATTGCATTATATTAAGTGCAATCTAATAAATACCTTAGCAATACTAAACACCCATATCTTCCACACCTCCCTCAGCTTTAAAACTACATTCTCAATTCTTAAAAGAACATATTCACATTTTGTTTGTTTGAATACACTTAATTACAACACTGAAATATATTATTTGGTATCACTATAACATCAAACTTATTCTGTAATACACATAAATTTAAAAATATATTTGAAAGATTATGTTATCTAAACACATCTGAAATCAGAAAAATCATTACAACTGTATGGAAAGTTTATGGTGAAATTGATTATTTTCTTAATATGAGAAAAAGATCCAGTTTAAAACATGAACTGCCAAATCAAGGCTGGCAGTGAACAAGAGAGTAAAGGAAGTCTAACTTAATCCAGATACGCAGTGAAAGATGATAATCTGCCTTCAAAAATAATTTCCCCCAACTCTACTTAGGATAGGCTGTTCATATCACTAGTATATATCACATTTATACATATACTGTGTATTTTATGTTTTAGTTAGAGTCTGACATGTCTGCTACTTTGATCTATGAAGAACCCACTCAATTGTCAGGATAAAGCTCTTTGTGAGTAAAGGCCTATTTTTCAGTTCTTTGGCATCTTGCACTGAGAACATTCAGTTTATAGTAAAACGACACTGAAAATAAGCCTCACCATTGGGAGGTTACTATTTTTTTTAAATGGGAGTGGTAGTGGTGTATTTATTTCTATTTTTACCTTATAACAGTCTCCTCCAGGAATGATTTCCTGAATATATACCAACGGGCCTTCATTCCGGTTAATTCCTCCTAGGATCTTCAGACCAAGACCTGTTTCTTTGGCAAATGTAATTATCTGAAAAGCAGGATCTCTAAGACAAAGGAAGGTAGCAATCACTGGTGAGGCTGGAGATCTGTACCTGTTTTTTGCTTTAAACTATTTATAAAATCAAATTTTCAACCCAAAGTACTTAACACATACTAGACACTAAAAGATATGGTAATAGAAAATTAAGTAAATGAATTTTCTTTCCTATGTTTTTAATTCTGTCTTAAAAAACAAGCAAAACATAAAAGAATTTATAGCATTAATGCTTACAAATTTAGGGAAGAACTAAGAAAAATGTCAAAAATATTATTTAAGTAAATTCAAAGATTTATGAAAGTGATACAAGACATTTGTTTTTATAGGCTATTGGATTCACTGAAGAATAACAAAACTAAATATTTTAATCAATTAGGTAAGGAACTTTAATATGCTTGTAGACATGTAAAGCAAAATAAATATCCTCTCTACCTGACTATCAAGAAACATTCTGAATTTAGAAAGTGATTTTTGCTACTAAAAATTGTTGTGCTACATACTTAACTTTAACTATAATAACAGAACTATAATTCGAAACTATGCAGAGATACTATTGTTCATTTACCGTATCAATAAAACTTAAAATCTGAAAAATATATTCTGATCATAAAGCTGTAGGAAAAAGCACTTTTATTCCTATATAAAATGGTACAACCTCTAAGGAGAGAACGTGGTTATCTACAACAAAACAATTAGCGTCTCCTCTAATTCAGCAACCCAATTTCTGGAATCTATCTCAAACAAAGCAAAATTATTTACCTCCTGGGTTCATTGCGGCAGAATTTGCAAGTACCAAAAAGCAAACAATCCAAATTATCATCAAGAAATTACTAGATGAATAAACTATAGTACACACACACAGGGTAGAATGCTATGAAGTTTTAACAAGAAAGAGCTTTATAAACTAATAGGAAGTGATCACCATGGTGTAACTTTAAATTCAGACAAAAGAGCAAGATCCAAAAAGGATATGTAATATGCTACCTTTTAGTTAAGAATATGTGAGAGTAAAATCCAAATATATGTAATTGTGTAGGAGGCATGAGAGAAAAATAGGATGCGTATTTAAATAAAAGAAATCTTGCCACAGTAAAAGGCTCATTACCATCAAGCCCCCTTAAGAGAGCCCCCCCTCTGTTCAAACACACTTGTCTCATTCTTGCCACTTTCTGAAGCAGCCTTGGAAATCTTCTGTCATGAGTGTCTTCAGCTGGACTGTGTGGCTCCCTCAATGTCCTGAATCCACTTAAAGCATTTACCTTTTCTGTTCATTTTGACTCTAGGGAAGAGCCAGAAGTCCTACGGGGCCAAATCTACTGTAAAAGGTGAATGGGGCACACTGAAATGTTTTTACAAGCTTGTCTTTCCATTGGATGGGACCTGGCATCAGCATTCACTGTATTTTTATCAAACTTTATAAACACGCTCATGAAGGACAACTTCCAGAATGCTTCCGAAGGTGCTAAGAGCAAGGAGGTAAGTGTGTGAGAGGTGAGAGGGGGCATACTGAAGATTAATGGCAAAGTGACGTTCACTGTAACGAATTTTTAAAATGTAAACATTCACCATATTTTGATTACTGTGTATATATTACATAGGTCTATCTATATGCATTTGCTTATGCAAAAAGAAAAATTTAAAAAAAACCAAGAATAAAATTTCTTTTTTTCTGCTGGAAGAATCCAGGAACAGGACCAAGGACAAGAATAAGGGCAAGGCTTCTCCAGCTGTACCTTGTGAAATATATGTTACATGCTTCCTCACCAACGGTTCTAGATCATCCCTGTTTGCATGCTTTTTGGCAAAGTAACTTTATGGCTCCCTTCTATTCAGAACAAAGTACACATGTCAACCCTCAAATTTGCCTTCTTATTTGATTACTGAAGACAATAGGACACTATAAAATGTGGGAGAAGCAGACAGTTGAGAAATATTTAACTTTGTTATTAGGAACCACTGCACCACCATGTGCAAAAGCTTAAGTGAGCTGCTTGCAGGCTGAAAGGTCAGGCAAGAGAGATCTGTCACTCAGCCTTCTTAGCAAGGTCTCAGAGCATGAACACCTGGTGCAGAACAGAACTTACAGCCACCCACAGAATCATGAGAAAAAAAAATAAGTGCCTATTACTTTAAGCATTTTGGGATAGTTATTCAGCAGAAGCTAATCTTAAATAAATTTTATACTGTCATTGCAAAATATTTAAGATATTCAAAAAGCCACATCAATTTTTTAAAAAAATGTAATCTGTACAAGTAATATTAAGGCAAATGCATAATTTGTCCTCCGCACTGGCTGATAGTGTGCCATGTTTGGAAGCATTTCCCAAGTACCAGGTATTAAAGGCTTGGTTGCCAGCTGGTGGTCCCACTGGGAGGCAGTAGAGTTTTGAAGAGCTAAGGTATAGCTGGAAGAAGGCAGGCCACTGGGGGCATTTTCTTGAAGGGGATATTGGGATCTAGCACTTTCCCATTTTTTTGTTTCCTGGTTGCCACAAGGTCCACCAAGAACTGCCGGGATGAACTATGCTGCCCCAGCATCAAGGTCAAGCCAACACAGACTGAAATCTCTGGAATCATAAGCCAAACTGAATCTTTCTTCTTTATGAGCTGATAATCTTAAATATTTTTATTACAGTGAAGTACCAGTAACTCAATGTATTATTTTACTCATTACTGTTCTACTAGGCCACATTATAGCGAGCTGTAAAACTACATATTTCAAACTATACTATTTCAAAACATATTAAATTTAGCTCAAAAGTTACTTTTCAAGTAGACTGGAAGATGCTGCAGGAGATGTCTTTTTATTCATGCTTTCAGCGCAGTCGCTTTGGATTTATGGCTGTATAAATGAAGAACTTGATGAAGAGTCTAAAAATCCTTCTTTTCCTAAGACTGGAACAGGAAAAAACATATTGTCAGAGCTCAGAACAGTCAAATTTGATTCCAATTTGCATAAAAGTATTATAGATAAAGCATCTGGTAAATAAATAATACATGCCATGTATAGATGTTTTATATTTTTTTGTATTTTGGGCTATGACATTTCAGTTATTGGTAATAACATCTGAAGTGTAAAGAAGTCCCCAGACAGACAGATGGGCCTATGTCTACATCATTATCGATACTGGTATTTATATAAAATCTACACTTTCTGGCAAAAGTGAAGAATACACCAAAGCTTTAGATAATCCTTACAACTTGTACCACTGGTAACACTAGAAATTACCAAATAATAAAAGATTGAGGAAAGTGTTTCTTGGGAGGACAAGGCTACTATGAAGCTTATAGTCAGAAAGATAATTATATGACACATGTGAAGAAAACAGAAATTCTTATCCTCTCACCAACTCTCTTGAAGGACGCCTTACAGATTCCATACGACGCTAACTCATGTTAATCCATGAGTTTATTACATACTTCCCTGTAAAGAGAAAAAAAAGTTCCCGTGTCACCTGGCTCCACTGCGAAAATTTTATTTAACTAACACAAAACATTTGAACAGAGGTTTATTACCTTGGGACAAGAAATATGAGTGAAGTAAAAAGAACCCATTAGTAATATGAATTCTTAGTGGGCTCTTGGGTGATAAGAAATACACGCTAGGTTTAACCTGTCATTTTGAACTGAAAATCTGGTTTTTTAAACTTTACTAAGTTTATAACACACAGCAGATATTTAAAGTTGAAAAATACATTCGGTTTGTTGATCGCAACTCTCTCATTGAAGACAGAAGTAGCTAGATTCAGAGGGACTGTGTGGTTTCCCACACAAAGAAGGAACAGCCAAGGGATTGTTTTCCCGGCCAGTTACGTATCAACTGTTTGTTGTGGATCAATCACAGAAACAGAGAACTAAGAGCAGGCATACTGCATTTCTTTTAAAACACCTGAATGCAGAAGTCATGGGTTCTGTACATAAAATGGACCTGGAAGAAAAAGCCAACACTTTTGGGGGAGTTTAGCAGAATTGCACTCACTGGTCTAGGAGTTAAAAACATAGCTTGATTTTCACAGCCTGTGCAGCAGCCAGGAAGACTGCAACAAGAAGAAGGGAAGATGCAGAGCAATGGCAGAAGAGAAATGAAAAGAGTTCTCTACAGAGGGGTCTGTATCTACTTCATGAGGAATACATATATGTAAAACCCGAGGCCAAAGTCCAACAGACATGATACAAGAAAGTTACTCAGACCTGCCCCAGGAAGAAAAAGAGTGACTTGAGGGTGCAGTTTAAACTCTCAAGGCTTTAACCACTCGTGACTCTTGCTAAGAATCGCCTCAGCCTGGTGTGGTGGCACTCCTGTAATCCCAGCCCTCGTGAGGCTGAGGCAGGAGGGCTGCTTCAACTTCCTGGCCAGCTTGGGCTACTTAGTAAGTTCAAGACCTGCCTGCACTACAAAGTGAGATGCTGTCTCAAAAAACAAGCAAAAACAAAAAACCAAGAGCCACTGTAGTTGTTCACAAGACTAGAACAGCCATGGAAGAGAGCACAATTCTAAAAGTAAACCTGCATAAATTCATTACCGATTACATTAGTAACATATGCATTGGACAAATTTTCAAATCTCGAGAGGAAATTTTGATATAATAATAATAGTAACTACCATTTATTGGCTGCACTATGCTAAGTGTTCCAAATGCATTTATCATATCTAATATCATGGAGAATGCTCCAGGCATAAGTTGAAGAAGCCAAGTTCAAATGACAGTATTGCTATGCGCTAATCATGTGGCCTCAGAAATGTTACCCACCTCTTGGCACCACGTCATTTTAAGGCAGGAATACTACTACTTGGCTCAAGGAGAGATGCAAAAAACACCAAGCCATCTCTTTACCAGTGGAAAAGTGAGCAGGATCTTCACCTAGTGGTGATTTAACTTAATAGTGCAAAGGGTCACCAGATACCCTGGAGCACATTTAAATCTAATGGATACATCAATGCTAAATCTCTATGACATATTCAATATGATGCAGCAATTAACAAGACATTTTAGAATATTTCTGGGTTAAAGTATTAAAATAAAATCTAGATGTTGAAATTATTCCATTTACCCAGCATACCTGGCAGTGTCCTAAATACTAGAGAGAAGATGAAAAGCAGAGACACTCAAATCAGCAGACATGAGGAAGGTGGCAGGATTCTGGCAGTCACAGGCGCTGGGAGCAAAGCCTGGAAGAAGGATTCCTGCAGGGGATGGAGAGCCATCATTAAACGTGAGTAAGGGCAGGCATCCTCCTAGCAGATGTTACCTGACACCAATTCCACAAGCAGGTGTTTTTCACCCAACTGTACATAAGAGAAAGCTAAGTCATGGAGGAACTACGTGGCTTGTCCATGTTCCTCGGCCAGTTGTAAAGTGCAATGAATTCAGCTCTTTCTGGCTCTAAATGCAGGCTTTTTCTGCCACAGCATTCTGGGAATTTACGTGCAAAAACTTCATCCTCCAAAAAAGCAAAGATAAAAATATAGAAGTAATTTGTCTCATACGCAGATGATACTACTGATTAAAGTTTCTTACAATATCAGATACGGGTTTAATTTTATCCATCCAAACTGCAGGCTTTTAAAAAAAATTGTAAGTGAAAAGGGTATCTATGATTGTATCTCACAGACATAGGTGCACACTCCGTAAGGTCACATTACTAATGAATGACACAGAAGTAAAACATCTTGACCTTTTACTATCTGCACATTCAAGGAAAATATGCTGTTTGTCTGATTTGGTGAGTCCCAAGGGGGAAAAGGTTAGATCAACAAAGTGGAACAGTTTCCTTTGATAACATAATCTCCTCCCTTACAAATTAATAAAACCAGTTTTCATTCCACATAATGAGAAATGCCATTCCAAATAAATGTGTATGGTGTTTGAGTAAGACTTAATACCTTACAGTTGCAGAGACATGATAGTCAATACTTTTTAAATCCAGATCTTTTTTTCTAAACCAAAAACAAAAAAAACAAAAAGAGCTAAAAATACCTTGGTTCAGAAATTATATAATATAATTTCTGTATAGTATACAAATATTAACTTGATGAAATTACCATACTGTCTTAATGAAACTAATGGTACTGCCATAATGCCATCAATCAGGGAGGTACTAATACACTATTCCACCAATAATACTGTCTGATATTCCAAATTCTTAACAAGATAATATTTATAAATATCATATTGTGTCTCTATTGTAAAAAGTAATAAGAACTGTAGGAGTAATAAAACCCAAAATGTGTGATTGTTATTATAAAAAAGAGAGGAAAAGAATGTGCTCTAAAGGATATAACTGCATGTATGTTTAAGTGTGTAAGAAAGATGACCACACGTATTACTAAGAGTTTGTTGGATCATTGAACAGAACTGTTTGTAGTCTCACTGTTTGAATGTCCACTTTGTATGTTTTAATTTTGTAACTTGAACAAAAATTTCTAAGATGACAGTATGTAATTTATCAACTAGTGATTTCTTAGTTTATTTTTATTTGAAATTCTGTATTACTATCCTTTTTTTCTTTTTTGCTTTTTCTCTTTAAATAGAATTTTAAAAAAATTAATAAAAAAGATAATATTTGTTCTTAACAAGATAATACTTCTGGATTTCTGCCAGTCTTGCTGATGAAATGGTATCTTATGATAGTCTCAATGAAGGCATTTTTTCCCCTTTATCCTTGAAGAACCATTTTACATGAACTGCCAAACTTTCCGTTCATTACTTTTTTAATTCAGTTCCTTAAATCCTAGGAAGATTGACTCTCTGCCAGTATTAAGAATCACAAATATATTTCTCCCTTATGTTCTTGGTTATGGATTTTTTTTTTTTATTATCCAAACGATTGTGGCTAAGTCTATCAATCTTTTGTAATTTCTGGGATTAGAGTCAAATTAAAAACCACTGTGACTCCCAGATTAATAAATAATGCTTGTTTCCTTTAGTACTTCTATGATTTCATTTTAAAATCTTGGATTCATTTGGAGTCCATCTTAGTATGCAGTATGTGGATCCAACTCACACTTTTTTCCATCCAAGCTCACTCATATCCATTAAACACAACCACATTCATTAAACAAGCCATCTTTTCCTCACTAATTTGAAATGTACTTTACACCAAATCTCATAAGTATTTCAGTATTTTGATCTACTTCGTAATTTTTACTCTTGCTCTTTGGTTATTCATTCATGCACAAAAACTAATCTAATTAGTGAGATTTTATAATAACAAATGCTTTGTATCTAGTGAGACCAATCCCCTTTTGTTGCTTTGTTAATCCTGTTTTCCTCACTGTTTTTAGCTGTTTATTTTTATATACTAACTTCAAAATCTCCTTATCTTACTTAGAAAGCAAAACAATGCTATTTGTTGGAAAAATCAGAAAAAATTTACAAACAAGTGAAGGATGTATTACAAATCTATCTTTATGATGTCATTTTGAGGCTCCCTAGCCAACAAGTTAAGTATTCCTGTTCATTCAGATCTTCTTTTGTAATCTGACACAGGGTTTTAAAGCTATTTTTATATTGATCTTACACATTTTTAAGATTAATTTCTAAATATGTTATCTTTTGCTATTAATCCCTTTTTCAAACCTATTGTTTTGAAAATGATAAATACAATGTTTGGAAAACCTTAAATAGTGTATCTTCAAAAAAAACTTCTCTCCCACTCCAAATTCCATCATATGATTAAATGTTTTCATTTTAAAAAGTTACTAATAAAAACTTGGAAGAAAAATGGGCACAGTTCACATTAGATTTTCATTGAAAACCGCGCATCTGCAATCTGCTGGTTTACAACCAATTACATCTTTACACCTCAACACACATACTCAGGGTCCTTATCATAAGCAATTACTTAGATTTATCTTTGCTATCACTGCAAAGATTAAAATAATACATCTTCAACAGACTCATAAGAGCTTTGTAAGCAGGAGTCTAATTTCCATTCTTCCTTGACAAAGTACTTAAATATTTACTTCAAAGTACTTAAGAAGCTGTGAGGTTGAGGAACTCTAAGGTCTTTAACCATTTGCCCCTTATGACTGAGATCTCCAGAAGGAAAGGGAAGAAGGAAAAAGTGTGGTATCTACCAGTCATGGAGAGATTTATTGGTCTAATATGATACCTAAAGAGTCTCTTAAAAAATAATAATAATTTTAAAAGCTGATGAGAAAAAATACTTTGTCAAGCGCTGCTGGCCAGTGAGATGTCTCTGAAGCTCTGTTAGTTCATCTTGATCAGCTGACTGGGGATCTTTAGTTCCTATGCAGTGTGAGGGCTTCTATTTATATTGTAAGGGAGAACAAAAGTAAAGAAAGTAGCTCAAAGCGATTTTTTTCTAAGGACAGAGCACTGTAAGCCTTTCAAAACTAAGAGACTGGGTCTCTCGCTCATAGTATTGTAGTATTTAAGTAACCAGCTTCCAGATACAGGAGTAAGATATATAATGTACTCCTTGGTTTTAAGTTTCCAAAGAAAAATATAGGTAAGTAAAAACATATTTTTAAAATAGTTAAATGTGACTTGTAAAATAGTCCTTGAAAGTTAAAATTTAGCATATTTGACAAGTGTTATAAACAACAACAAAAACTGAAAGCAAAAATACTTTAATCAGCAATAATGATAAATACAAATGTAAGGTTTTTCTACAAAGACAAGATATCTTCTTAAAGGTAGGTTACTTTAATACTCCATGGTTGGCAAAGATTTCCTGAACAGAGTATTTTAGTTCATAAATACCATCAATGACTAAATAATTACAAAATCAATAAATATTGGCTGTGCCTTCTCTTAGCACTCTCTATGTAAAATTAATGCCTTCTATTATGTCTTCCTTAATGTCATTTCTCTGCAACTCATTCTCTTTTCCCTCTCCGTTTGCTAAGGCTTTGCCAAATTTTACAATGTGAAAGAGAAAAACACAGAGATGGTGGTTTCCAATGAAAACCTTCAAACAACTTCTTGTGATTACTCCTGTGTAAGCAGGCAATAAAAATGTGAATTATGCCTTTCTCTTCTATAATTTAGAAGAAAGAAGACCCAGCAAAGAAACTCATAACACAAACTGTATTCAATGCTATTTTCTTCTGAAATTAACCACCAAGAGTTGGATCAAAAAGAAACATTTGGGAATCTTCCCTGCCATCGGTTTTCTGTTTTGAAGTGGAATACCTTCTGAAGAGTCTCTCTGCTGACCACTGCCCAAGTTACTTTGAGCACCCACTTAATCACTCTGGTCCCTAGTTTGTCTGTGAATAAGACAACAGAAGTATCCACAAAAGGATCTTCTAAGGTTCTTTTTTGGGTCTATGGAAACAAAAGCAATTCTGGCAGCCTTATTATACAAGTCTCCAGTGCTTTCTGAGGTGAGCTCTTGTGACATGCACATGTACCTCTAAAATCAATCAGATCCATGAGTAACATGGGGTAGTCTTCAGTCAGGTCATTTGGGAAGGACCGGAGGAGAGAAAAAAAGCACTAGTACAGAAAAGTTCCACGTTTAGGTCATTTAAGAGAGGAGGAGAACATAATGATTCTGACTGCCTAGTAAGTAATCTATCTGACGCGGAGGCTGGAGTGAAAAGTTAGACATTCCTGCTATTTGTTGATTCATTGAAGCTAATATTAAAAATATAAATATTCCTTGCTGTAAAGTTAGATCTATAGATTCAGTATTACACTTAAAAGGCTACAAAAATAACAGCATTTGTAAATGGTGCAATCTGTTTTAGACCTTATTGTAGCAAATACTCTTCAAGATAACATCAACTTTGCATAGATTCCTGGGGTTATCTGACAAGCAAAATCAGGAATGATTCCCTTCCCTAGGCTGAACTTTACTAAACTCATTCTTTTCAAATGATGTGAAAGTTTTGGGAAACGAAAATACAGAAGATCAGTAAGAATTATTTTACTATTTCCTTTATTCTGTGCCCAAAGACAATATTCCCTTTGCTAATACACATTTTTTTCTTTCAAGAACCTAACCATTCAGGAATGCTGTCCATTGGGGGTGGGGGGTGAGAATCTGCCTACAACACTGAGAAACCGGGAAAACTGATTCCAAGGGGTCATCTTAGCCTTCCTGAAACAGGGGATCTTCATTAGCTCAGTAAGTAGTTCAGTGCTCCTGGAAGTTTCCTTAGACTCCCTGTCTCCCTTGTGTTTGCTTTCATTCCTGCCTTTATCCACTCAA